CTCCTTCTCTTTTTCTTTTCCGTTTTCACCTCGTCGAGAAATATTAGTCGATGCATTTTCCTCTCTCCTCCCTGTCTCGAAGGACGTACGCGGAGATCAAAGAGAAGACCTTCGGGGAGAAACCGATCGCCTCCGATAAATCAGCATCATCCAGTCGGCGGATGGCCGAAGTGCCGAGTCATGCTTACGGCCGCTACTCAAGATTGTTTTCGGTGTAAACCTGTGGCGGCCGCCGAAAGCGTAAACAGTTTCGGGACGGTCGGATCTTATTTTTAGTTTAGACTCCTAATGGATCGCGAGACGTGGCGAAACGGCACGACGCGATCGGCGGTGGTGCTGGAAAATCCACCGAGAGGATTCCCTGTTCACGATCCCGCCGAATAGAATTATGGGCGTCTTTTGTCGGAGAACGCGCCTCCGGACCTTACCGAAGAGTTGAAGGGTTTCAGAGACGAGCGAGCGAGCTTGCGAGCTTTTGCGCGCCTCGCGAGTCTCCCTCTAACTTATATAACACACGTTTTACGTACAAGATTTTATATCGATGCAGTTATTGTCAGAGATGGTTGTTTAAATAAATGTCTTCTTGATCAATCGGCCCCCTCTGTTACTTTCATTGGCTTAATTCTATCTCTGCAACACTGAGCAGTGTGCGTCATTTTGTACGTGTTTCATTTTGTTCGACATTCGAAGGAGCAGCCAATGTCCAAATGTCGAAGTACTACACGCGATTCATTCTTCGGAACGACGGTTCCGACGTTGCCTGCGATTCTTGGCTCGCGACAAGATCTCATATGCCTGTTGAATTTCCATGAATTTCTCCTGAGCCTGACGCCTCTCCACCTCCGTGCCCTTAACTTTGTCCGGGTGATTGTCTCTGGAGAGTCTTCTCCATTGCGCCGTGACTTCGGTCTGCGTCGCGGTTTGTGGAAGGTCAAGTATCTGCAGATGGTTAAACGTCAATCTAATTGTATGTCGAGTCAGTTACTTGGGGTTAGTCCAGGTAACGACGAATATCTTGGTAAGAATTATCTCATAAAAATTATTTGGTAATTAACGGAATTCGCGAGTTTAATGCGAGCGACGTTTTGACCGACCTTGTAAGCGTTTATTTCGCCACGAGGATCCGTGAGATCCACCAGGTGCGCCCACGTGGCCCAAAATCCGTCGTGCTTCGCCTGGTTCCACATGGCCTCCAGGCTCACCTGCGATGAACACATAATGAGAATGTTCATGTAACATAAAGGCAAACGTCATCGTGGACCCACCTTGAGATCCAGCCAAATGGGCGAGGTGAGGAAATGCTGCACCGCTTCCGACAGCTTGATCTCCTCGCCTTCGCTGTCCGTGACGACCGCGTTGAAGTACAAGTAGCTTCCCATCACGCAGAAATAGAGCATGAGCGCTGAGCCTAGATACGCCGTCCTACGTACGAGGCTCTTTTTCTTTCTCGGTTTCAGCCGCCACTGCTTGCTAAAGGTGTCGAAGCTGAGGCTCGAGGTGATCACCATGAGGAAAACCCACAAGGTATCGTCGCCGATATAATACAACGTCGGATAGGGCAGATAAGCGGTGACGAGTGGTATCCATATCGAACCTTGCTCTCGGCCAATGTTGCCGACCAGCCAAACGCCTTGCGAAAGCAAATGATAAGTTCATAAAAAATGCATCCTCTATCGATCTGTTACGTTTATTGATGCTGTTCTCATTGATACTTTAATAACTACTTCATAACATCTTCTAACATCTTCTTAATGGTAAAAAGAATGTCCTTTGAGGAGATGCTTTAAACGATAATAAAGGTATCTATCTACTTGCACAAAAAGAATGTTCGTGTAACAGACGAAACAAAACCAAATGAAAAATCAGTGACAAGAATCGACCTTTTCTCGTGTATATATATTTATCTATATTTTAATGGACAAAATTGTTTAGATATTTATGAAAATTTTTAAACTACTTATTAATGATGTATGTAAATCCCAAAACACAGTAATGATTCTCAATTTTAACAATTCGATGAGCTCCCAACTTCATCCTGCCTAAGTCGTTTTGCAACCTATTGTACGTTACGTACGTTATGTAGCGTCGAACGACTTTATTATCTTGCTGTTCGTTTTATTACCGTTATAAATTATATTCCAATAACTAGCGAAGGGCTAGTTGCTAGCCGATCATTCTTAGCTTGTTTGAAATGTTTAATCTAAAAATTTTCTTTTACTTTGGTTTGATAAGAAAAAAATTCATTAAAATGAAAAATGAGCTCTCGTAACACCTGGCACGATAAAATCCGTGCAAAGTAGCGAGTGATAGTTTGATTTTTATTTTTCTACGCTCATTATGAGTAACAGCCGTATACTTCTGACCGACGTCGTGGCCTTAGAAGCTTATCGTCGGGGAAAATATAATGTACAACAAAGATAATCTGCATGCGGTAACGAGCATGCGATAAGAAAATACGACGCTATTGATAAACGATGCATTTCCAACTCTTCCAGCTGGCGACTCTTACCTAACGCGATCACGGCGGGCGTTAGGATCACTAGATGCCTGAAATTAATGCCAAACACCTCATCCTGCGGGATCGCGCTCCTGAACAGCTCGGCCCACAAGTAGCTGACGGAAGTTTCCGCCACGAATCGCGCCGCGGAAAACGGCGGCTGCAATCAGCAAATTCACTTTTGTCATCGATCAATATCATATTTCGACATGTCAACCGTTCTGGCTAACATTCCACATTGCTGCCACGTTACCCGCGAAAAAATGTCAGCAGTGCACCTGGACTGGTTTCTTAAACATCTTTGTCACAAAGACGCTCGCCGTGAATGTTACATAACGCTTCGAACATTAATATTTATACAATTACTGTTACAGAAACGTTATTGGTTCCTCGAACACACGATCAACGATATATGGTACGCGGAAAAGTCGTAATTACGAAGATGTCAACAAGGATCTTAAGATCAGCGAAACACATTCGCGTGACGTATTCCTCGGCGGCACGTGACGATTCTAAACTTCGCGCCGAGTATGTTTTTTTACCTTGCGATTAGCGCGGACTTTTCGTTTGAAATCCTCGATGAACGCTGGGTTGTCGTTCGCGTCTGCCACGTATGACGGTATCGCGTAAATATCTCGGAGCCAACCTATGCCGAGGTAACCGCCGAATGTGCTCATGTATACAAAAGCTTGATCGTCCCTGCCGAGGTACACGTGGTGGGCCCCGAAGAGCCCGCCGAACAGCCATAGCAGGTACGCGTAGAGCTTGGACTTTTTGCTGCCAGGCTCGCGAGCCTCCACCACCAACACGTTGTTCTTCTCCTTCGTTCTCTCCATATTTCGTTTGCCGAGACCACCAGTCACGTACTGTTCATTTTCGACTCAACGTCGAAGAGTGATATTACGTCGCGACGATCGCGACGTTTTTTGCTTCCGTGTTTTCGCGAGATGTTTTGCGGAATTGCGCACGCACGAGGAAGACACGGTAGTGTCGTTTTACCCGCACATTTTTCACAGACGAGAGCCCTTCGATTCGGCTGTGCGTCGTTTTTTCACGCTGAAGTGTGTTCTGTCGGGTCAAGTCTGTCGCGTTGGCCTGACGGTTGTGATTCTACTGCACCGGTTAAACGCGGTTCAACGCTCCGGCAGGCAGGTATAACGGTACGGTTCAGGAGCGTAACGAGCAGGTGCACGCTTGTCCTTAATAAGGAAACTGGGTAACAAAGCCCGGCGGACGTCACCAAGCAAAGCTATATAAGCGCAGCTTTGATATTGACTCGTTAAATTCGATTCGTTACGAAGTAGCGAAAAGAGTGATAAAAATCGCAGAACTTGAGACATAACGTTTGTCGTTCAATTGGTTTTGTTACATATTACGTCAAACATTTCAATTCGTCTTCAGTAACGTGCGACTCCTTTCTACAATACCAAAAGCAACGATGACGAAACGTTCTAACTTGGGGATACATCAGCGTATGACTCATATCAGCCTCTCCCTCTCATTAATTAATTAACAAAGATAGATCATCTTCATTCTTGCGACTTTACATATTTGGCGAAAGGAAGTTAATGCTCGTGTAGCGTATGTAAACTTCAAAATGTTAAAGTCGAGCATTTATCTCTTTTTACAGCTCTTTTCCGATGACCTTCACGAATAAATGCGCCAAGATGTACTATTTTTGCAAGATACTAAGCGGACTCGAAATAGTACATATTCCTAAAAGTCATGACTACTATTGGCACGACCGGATCTTCCGCCGTGTGTCAGTAAACTTGAGTTTTGTGAATGAATTCATTTGGATTACGCGGACTCTCTTCGCGGTGAACCCATTTCAAGAACGGTCATCACCGCACCATCTGTCGGCAAAGTCGCGAACGTATTACTTGTGAATGTTGACTTGTATCACAGGAAGGTAAGAATTATTTAATGATTTAATATTCAATAAAATACGAGTAATACATAATATTACTAATATCCTATGGCATTAATATTCGGTAACATGTGATAATACGCATTATAGGACACCTCATCAATCGAAATTGAGGAAAGGGCAAGACTTTACCAATGGAAAATCGATATGAGATTTCAGAGGGACACGACGTCACGATAAACATACACATCACAAGTAATACTCCGCGCAATTCGCAGAGTCGTTATTGTTCCGTTTCATGATTCCCTGACGATTGGCGATTGAGACCTCTCAGCGTCTCGACCTGTCGTTCAGAGCTGCCCCGAGATCAATATGGCGTCAGACACGTGTTGTACCACGAGTACTACGCTGACGGTCGGTCGTCTGTCCGTTTCCACGTGATTGTTCACGAGTGTTTCGTCGCTGTGCACGCCCGCTGATGTTCCCGAGGATGCGCGAGGATGGAGAAAAGTTGTGAGACCAAAAGTTGTGAGCTCAGTCATAAAGAATGGCGTCGCATCGCGAAAAGGGAGCGTCGCAGACGTCTGCGACGTGAAGTCGCCCGACGACGTGACACCGAAGAAGAACAGCAGAGCGCAGCACTCGAACGCGACGCGGACTATTTGAAGTCGCTCGAAGAGAAGGAGAAGTTGGAAATGGAAATCGAGAGGCGGGAGCAGCAAGAGCGCGAGAGAAAATGGTTGGAGGAAGAGGTAAATACACGTTTCAAGATACACAATATTAAAGATAGACAATATTAAATATTTTCCTATTTATTTGTATAGAATTATGTAAATAAATGTTTATGTAGAGCGAAAGTAAAAATACAAATGAATTTGTATAAAAAACAAAAAATAATTTCGTAAATAAAAATTGTTTTATTAAATTTTTATATAATATGACTTTTATTGATATTTTTACTTTCACTCTGTATAAATATTTGCAATTCCATACAAATGGAAAAATAATGCAAAATACGAAACCTGTATTATATCGATATTCGTGTTCTCAGTTGCAAATTTAAAGAAAGTTGTTCCAATGTGCATAACCCTAATCGTCGTCTTTCGATTTTGCAGGCACGAGCGCAAAAGGAGTGGGAAGTCCTTCAACAAAAGAAGGAGCAGGAGATGCGAGAGCAGCAAAAGCAGCAGATGAAAATCCACGAGGAACTCGAGGCGAAGAACGAGGAGTTCCGGAAGAAAGAAGAGGAGAGGAGGCGCAAGCGAAAGGAACAACTGCAGAAACGAGAGCAGTTGCTAAAGGATATCGAAGATTACGTCGACAACGGAGCGAAAACGCCCGAGGCTCTGCGAGAAGTCAGAGAGACTCAACCTGGGAAAGATCTCTGCCCGTTCTTTATGAAGACTGGTGCTTGCCGGTTAGTCCACCGAATGATATTCATATTGTGATTCATTTCATTCGATTTGATTGAGTGAAAATCACAACTCAATTGTTGTCTGATTCTTTTCTCTTTCAGGTATGGAGATAAGTGTTCGAAAAATCACCGCACCGTCTTCCTGAGCAAGGTGATCCTGATCCCCGGATTTTATTCGCACTTTTCCCTCGAGAAAAACTGTGCGGAATATGACACCGATGTGACGCTCGAGTACGAGGCGTCAGAGACATGGCAACACTTCCGCGAGTTCTACGAAGATGTAATAACCGAGTTGGAGTCGTACGGAAGGATCAACGTGCTCAGGTGTTGCTGTAACACTGAGGCGCACTTGCGCGGCAATCTATATGTCGAATACCAGACGGAGCGTGAGGCTACCAGAGCCTGGAGAAAGCTGAACGGACGTTGGTACGCTGGCAAACAGCTGAGGTGCGAGTTCGCCAACCTGACGTCCTGGAGAAGCGCTATCTGCGGAATGACAAAGTGTCCGAAAGGCACGGCTTGCAATTTCCTGCACACCTACCGAAACCCACGAGACAAATACGGCAATAAGGACATCCTTTTCAGACACGTGAAAGGCACTCCCCAAATGTCGAATAACAGCAAAAGAAGCGAACACAGGTCAGTTGACTTGCTATCTATCGGGAAGTTCACGCGAATACAATGTAACGAAATGAATTTCAAACAGATTGTTATTTATAAGAATCTTGTTTCTTCGACAGGAGTAAGTCCAGGTGGGAGGAATCCGTTCGAGATAACGGCGAAGAAGATCGCGACTGGAGGTGGTCCGAATCTCCTGAGATCGAGTTAGAGGCACGGTCGAAAGACACGAAGAATAAACGCTGCCATTCCACAGAGAAGGAACGATCGCGGAGAAGTTCTCGCGACGGAAGACACAAGCGAAGCGAGAGATCCAGCACGAGGAACTCGAACAGTTTGCGGCGCTCGAGATCGCCCCAGGAACACTATTATTCGACGAGTCGCAAGAAAAGTCACGACGACGAGGAGGATAGCGCGTCGGATGGTCGCTCCTCGAAAAGGCGTAAGAAGAAATCTAAAAGTAAAAATGACGACGAAAATGGTTACAAAGAGGGGAGACGAAAACGTTAAATATGACAAGACCCAAAGGTCGCGCGAATATATTCTTTCTGTACACAAACTGTCTGACGATACATATACAACTCCCGTACACGTATAGATTAGGTCAAATTGAAAAAAAAGTCCTCTACCATTTTGCAAATAATCATAGATTTTTGAGTTCTTGACTAAAGAAGATTCGAAAATGGTCGCGTACGATTATTGGTCAATTCTCTTTAATTAATAACTCAAAAATCTATGTGATTATTTAAAATGTTTGTGTAAAATGATAGAGAACTTTTTTGTTCAGTTTGACCTACATATACACGAAAGCTTTACATCGTCAGACATCCTGTATAATAAATATATATAAAGTATGTAGATTTTTTATATTCTACATATTTTATATTCTATATATATATATATATATAATATTTTATATTCTACATATAGAATATAGAGAATTTTTATATTCTATATGTAGAATAAAAACTTACATAAATATAATATTTTTCGTATACTCCCGAGTTTTTCTTCGCTGTACAGTGTCGAAATATATTCTCGCAACGCGAGATCCTTTGTATAGCAACTCTGACAAACTCTGACAAAGACTGTTACTGAGTTTTATGCAAGTGTAAGATAGCATTTCATGTTAAATGTACAAATAAATAAAGAATAAAGCAGTATAGAAAAGAAAACGGTGTGTGCGAATTGTAGTCCCATTTTGTCTCTCATGAATCGAATCCATCATCCGAGATGTCGCAACGGCGATAGATAAAGTATAATTGATTACAAAAGGTATTTAGCGTGAATTCATGTCGTTGTGATTTCATGGTTTTATCACGCGATAAACACTCACATCCGCATGCTTGTCGAGCGATACCGTCTTGATGGACGATCTTCAGATTGTTACTTATTGCAACTCTTTCTTCAATCGCGGTCGTTTAATTGAGTTTACAAAAATGCAATACAAACGCCGAAAGGAGCGTTATCGCGTGATTCGAGATATCATATCGGTGATTATCACCACTCAAAAAGAGAGATGGTAAATATCAATCGGTCGCATTTTAAGTAAAGTGTATTGAGCGCGCTTTAAAAGACAAACGACTACTCTTCGCTCTGCAATCAGGAAATAAAGTCACAACTATTCGTCCTCTCGACAACTCGTCATGATTGTGTTCAACGTGCTGCTCGTCTTGTGTTCGGTCCACCCTCTCGCGAGTGGGGTGGGTTTTCACGGATTCACCTTCCGCGGTTTGGAAGAGCCGGAGCCGATAGGATCTTACACAGAGAAAGTAATCGAGGATTGGATTGTTCAACCGCTCGATCACTTCAACCCCCGTGACAATCGCACCTGGTCAATGGTAATTATTGCAAAACTATTCTCTAAATTTGTTTAAGTGAAATCGCAAAACAAGTGAAAATTCACTCGAAATGGAAATACTGTCATTTGAAATTGCAAGTGTGAATATTTATATATATATAATTCAAACTTAAAAATTCAAAATAGACTCTTAATTAGTACAAATGAATATCTTAAACGACTGAAATAATATTGTTTCAGTGGCAGTGGAGATTAGATTCACTCTTCAATTTCGAATAAAAATATTTACTCGGCAGTTCAGAATGAAGAATTCACAGATGAAATTTCCCTGCACTAGTAAAAACATAATATTCTTTCCGTGTATAAGTGAAATATCACTCGAGCGATTCGATTGTGTGTCACTCTATTTTCTGAATGACATTTTATTCGAAGAAATTGAGAGAATACTTTTGTTTTATCTGAAGGGAACTCCTAAACTCGCGAAGTAACATTCATCGATTACTCCGCAGCGTTACTACGAGAACTCCGAGTTGCTGAAAGCAAACGGACCTATCCTGATCATGATCGGCGGGGAATGGGAAATATCAACCGGATTCTTGCTGGGAGGATTGATGCACGAGATCGCGTCTGCTCACGGTGGCACGATGTATTACACAGAGCATCGCTTTTACGGGAAGAGTAGACCGACAAAGTATACAAGTAGTCCATAGTTTTTGCATAATATATATGTAAATGCAAAGTCACGTTTTCAAAATCGATCCCGCACGAAACGAATTTAGGAATATCAGCCCGGACAGCCTGCAATACCTAAGCGTCGATCAAGCGCTCGCCGATCTCGCATATTTTATCGAAACGAAGAAGAGGGAGAAAAATCTGGAGAGCAGCCCTGTGATAGTGTTTGGTGGTTCTTATGCTGGCAATATGGCAGCGTGGGCACGTCTCAAGTACCCTCATCTTATTCAGGTACCTTTTGTCATCTTGATGCATTTGTATTTCTTGAGAACTCAAATCTCAAGAAGTGTTTAAATATTAAAGAAAAAAAATGTTTCAAGGGTGCCTTAGCTAGCAGCGCGCCGGTTTACGCAAAAACCGATTTCTACGGTAACTACTTTCAATTAATTGAACGAATTTCTCGTGAATGTCGCTAATCGCTTTCTTCCCCTCAGAATATTACGAAGTCGTGACGAGATCACTGGGCAAACACAGCAAGCAATGCGTGACGGATGTCAAGAGCGCGTTCGAGTCGGTAGAAGAACTGTTGGATGCGCAAGGCGGTCCTGAGAAGCTTAAAGTTTACTTCAAGTAAGGCAATAATGTGTACTTATAAATCAATATTCGTCATATACAGGGTGAGCCATTTTAATCGACGGATCCAAATTGCTCCTAAAATACGCCAGCTACAAAAAAATGGTTAAGACAAGAATTGTAGAGGACAACGGGGGTCATTTTACCGTGCTAATAATTTTGACCTTCAGATCGATTTTCAAGGTCATTCGAAGGTCAAAGTTATTTTTAAAAATTAGAACCCCTATTTTTGACACCGGATTCGAAAAGAGCAGAAAATTTTACGTTAAAAATTATATTTAGATTTTTTCTCTGAGTCCAAGAAGGTCAAATCAAGAACTTGGAAGATGTTAATTCAATACTTTTAGCGTTACCCGGAAACAACGATAGTTGGACGTAGTAAGTTCTGTTTCCTTTGGGGTGCTTGATTATCGTGAGTCCCCTTGCTTCTCACATCTGGGATGCTTAATTATTGTGAGTTCCCTTGCCTCTTACCATAACTGCAATTTATCATAATTATAAAGATGTTGTTTTTGCTCAACGGACTACAACAAAGGAAGATATGATGGAACGAATTCGTAGAGCTTGCGCAGCCATTCCTAAAGATACTTTGCTTTCAACAGTGAGAAATTTTGAACGACGTTTAAATTAGTGCCTTGAAGCAAACGGAGGCAACTTTGAACAGTTACTCCGTGGGTAATTATGATAAATTGCAGTTATGGTGAGAGGCAAGGGGACTCACGATAATCAAGCACCCCAAAGGAAACAGAACTTACTACGTCTTTGTTTCCGGGTAACGCTAAAAGTATTGAATTAACATCTTCCAAGTTCTTGATTTGACCTTCTTGGACTCAGAAAAAGAAATCTAAATATCATTTTTAACGTAAAATTTTCTGCTCTTTTCGAATCCGGTGTCAAAAATAGGGGTTCTAATTTAAAAAAATGACTTTGACTTTCGAATGACTTTGAAAATCGATCTGAAGGTCAAAATTATTAGCACGGTAAAATCACCCCCGTTATCCTCTACAATTCTTGTCTTAACCATTTTTTTGTAGCTAGCGTATTTTAGGAGCAATTTGGATCCGTCGATTAAAATGGCTCACCTTGTATATAGTCGTCATTGTTAGAACTTGTCTCGCGGAATATTCGGATTTGAATGTCTCACGTAAGAAAAGTTACGGCCACGACTATCAATGCGCATCTAACCGATTTTTCAAGCTATAAACAATCTTCTCGCGATTTTTTCTTTCTTTCGCGATAAAACAAATAGAAGAGAAGTAGGTGAGATCAGTTCTAATTAATTATCCCGCGATGAATATTGACTTCAGCTTGTGCCAAGTGCCGGATGTGAAGTCTCCCAGTGACCTCGGTTACCTGATGAATTCGCTAGCAGAGGTACGTACATATCGTTATCGATAACACCGTTTCGCGTTTACTTGACTATTCGACCATTCACCACGATCAGGTGTTCGCTGAGGTCGTCCAGTACGATAAAGTTGAGAATGGTCGCACGAAGATCGCAGCGTTGTGCGCCAACATGACGGCGGCGCATCTCGGCAGCCCTCTGCAGAGACTCGCGCGTCTCATCGTGGACTCGGACAACTGTCTCAATATGAATTACGAGAATTTCATAAAGACATATCGCGAGATCTCGTGGGATGCGCCAGCGGCAATGTCTGTCAGTGAGTTCGATCTCGTTTGCCTAATGAAACAAACGAAGTCGCGATACGGAGTTTCACGTAACTCTGTAATGTTTGCAGTGAGACAGTGGTATTATCAGACCTGCACAGAGTATGGCTACTATCAGACAACCAACTCGGATAAGTCAATCTTCGGAACGCTTTTCCCGCTGAATTACTTCACTGATATATGTATCGATCTATATGGCGATTAGTGAGTGTAATTAAGCCTCGGTGTACCGTCAAGGTCCATTGAACCCCACTTTTGAGTTCTTCCTTTGAGCGGTTCTGATCATTCATAACGACTAATAGCTCATAACTTTTATTCTCCCTTTAATTTAATTAATGTTATGATGATATACTGAGAGTTAAAAAGTTTTAGAAAAGCAAACTAGTAAAATTTTTAAGACGCGTTTGCTCAACACTTCACGCCTACCATTTTCGTTTTCGTACTTTACAGAAATCGTGTATTTTCGAATATATGACATTATTTCTTACAACTTCTCTCTAACAACAAGTTTTCTGATAAATGTCAAATAATTGTTGAACGTGATGTCGAGCTACTCACAGCTAAAACAGAAGAGCCAATCCTTTGATTCTAGCTACAACGCAAAGTTGCTGGATTCGCGAGTTAAGAGGACAAACATAATGTACGGAGGGCAGCAGCCGGATTTAACGAACGTAATCTTCACGAACGGAGATATCGATCCGTGGCATGCTCTATCGGTTCTGGAGGATCTTAACACTTATTCACCTGCTATTCTCATCAACGGTAACCAAACGAGATAGTCGAACTCCGCGTTTGCTCTACAATGCAAAATGACGATGCATACATGTTTTATATTCAGGGTCTTCGCATTGCCGCGATCTCTATAGCGACACAGCCACGGACGCGGAGGACTTGAAGAAAACTAGAATAAAGATCCGCGAGATAATCGGCAAATGGCTCTCCTCGTGAAGAAAGTTGACGATTTTTGGGACAAGGACGACGAGTAACGAGTTTTCCGTTTCTTTCCAATGCATGAATTGTGATATGTTTACAAAAGATATGTACAATACTTGAGATACTTGTATGTGTGCCACAATGAACCTAATCATAGTAGCTACATAATATAAAAATAATATTATGTCCACTTGATACCAATGCTGTGTAACCTAAAAAACCCGCGACATTTCGTCCAACCATCTGTCATGTGCGATATCGATCGCAGCCCCGCCGACTTATCCTTCTAGATAGACCATGAAACGAAAGAATATTAATCGACCTCGAGCTTCCGGAAAGACCCAGCGATGCCGTACATCGTGGATTCGCTGCTGGAACCCACTGTGGAGCAGCCGAATCCTTGCTTCAAGGCCGAGACCGCGCCCTCTCGCGCCTTCTCCGAGTACATTTCGAGACAGACCTTCATCCTGTCGTTGTTCAGTAACGTGGGCCTCATCGCCATCAGCTCTTTCCGCCACAGTTCTACATCAGAAGCACGGTTTATTATTTTCTGCAGGTGGAACGACGAGAAAACTTTCTTTTTCGCCAACTTTTTTGATAATCGAAGGCGCAAAGTAGAAAGCCTTAATTACCGATCATCTCCTTCATGGGAATCGTGCCGCCGTACTCCTTCGGTAACATGCTGACGTCCATCTTGCTATTTATGGCGTCCTCGAGGCTCGTATACACCTTGATGCGGCTCTTGATCTTGTCGGAGATGAGCGACATCCCGAAATCCATGGCAAACTTCAGGGAGGGGTGCGCGTTAATCCCGTGCACTTCTTTGTGCCGCATCGGCAAGGTGCGCTAAAAGAAATCCGGGATTCATCAGCTGTTCCAATCATCGATTTTCTTCGCGCCTCTTCTTTTTTTACTTTATATAACTCGTAAAGATCGAACAACGGGAGTTACAGCAAGCAATCTAATTTCCTCGTGAGGTGAATCGAGACCGAAAGAACCGGTTTCGGCATACGTTACACACCTAATCGTCGGCGATTCGAGTGTACCGCGGTGAAATTTCGTTATGTGCCCGTCGTCCTTGATCCAGACGTGCGATGGACCAACTACGGTTCGATGACGAACACGAGAGAACGCTTTCGCTGGTGGATCAATCAAGTTTGGGGATCCAACGAGACGAATAATGACACTTGCAACCAAGATATACACGGAGAAAATGTAGTAAAAATTGCAACAAAATTCTATGATTTTGAACAAATACAAAAATGTTGACTGAAATCACTACATGTTCGTTGAAAAAATTTTATGTGATTACTACAAAATTATTGTAATTACTTGCATGGTTTTATATCGTATATTCGGTAGATCGGTAGCCAAATTTATTATTTCTATAATAATTTACACTACAATATAGTCAGTGTAGTTCATTTTTACAAAAAAAAAAAAGATATTGTAAAATGAATTGCAATTCTAACGTAATTTTTACCACAATATTTTCTTCGTGTATATTTTCTTATCTGTACCGTTCAACTTAATTCTTCGCATATTTCGACATGATAACTCGAATTAAACACGACTGGACACGTCAACGAGAGTTTTTGAAGATGGTAAAACAACTTCGTTTTTATGCTCTTTCATTGGATGCGGATAATTTTATAAACTTTACTATACAAGTATCGTGCAAAAAGAAATCACGCAACAAATCAGCTGAAAAAGCGCATTCATGAGCGGAGTTCGGTTGTACCTCGCCATTCTTCACGATGCGCACGGCCTCCTTTGGAGTGAAAAGCGTCAGATGCGGGAAACCGACGCCGGCACCGTCGCCGAAGTGTACGAAGCCACGCACTTGGCTCTCTTCGTCCTCCATCAGCGTCTCATAAGTGATGCCGTGAATCTTGCACATGTCCGCGTTTGTGTATTTGTGCGGGTCGAATACGCCTTGGGTGAAGAGACAGATGCGCAATTAGATCTAACTTATAACACTCAACGTCCCATACACTAACACATACCTGGTCTAGCGATTATCACGCGACGGCCTTTCGCGTCACGGCCGGGTGCGGCGAAGAGGTATCTGAAAGATAGACAATATGGCGAACAATACAAAACACGCTAGTCTCATTTTATTCACTCTAGCGACGAATATTCACCCCAGTGACAATAAATCATCCATATTCGGTTCCGTGATGTCCAGGTTGTTGAAAGCCGGATGATACACCTGGCGGAGCAGGAGGTATCTCTCCATAGCTTCCTGTGCCATCGGCACATTGAATTTTTTGCATCGCAAGAATTTTAGTAAGAATCGTCCATCTGACGAGAGATGACATATTAATGGCGTGTGTCTGATCGACACGTAAGATCGTAGAATCGACTTGTTAGAAGTTTCACTACGGAATAATTCTGTCAAGTTTTTTAGAAGACTATAAAATAATTATGATTTAAAGCTATGGGGTGAGGATTTCTTAAAACAACTAGATGAATTTAAATGTTGGTAGCGAAATTCATGCCTTCGCATTTCCCTTTTCGTGTGAGTGATGTAAGGTGACCTTTGCGCTAGTGCATTCGCGTCGATCGCTACTCGACGTTACAATCTCACCGAGACGGCAGTTTTGAATACGAGGATTCAATTTTATCCAATTGCGCATCTGCTCAAGAGCCTGGTCCCTGGCGTTCTTGTCCTCCCTCAGCTCGTCCTTCGCTATTTTCTGAGTCTCCTTCGAGAGTTTGCATTCGTACTTATCCTCATCGACTACCCACTCGACTGCTCCCATTTTCGCGGCTTGGTGCTCGTCCGAAAGATGTGTGTTGACTTACTTGGACCTACAGAGATCTGGAAACGTTGTGACGTGACGTTTAGTCTTCAGTAGTTTGAGCAACACCGAGGATATTTTCAAAGGGACCTCGTATATAATGTTGTATCTTCCAAATAAATAATGACGACTGTACCTCCAGAAAATAAAATACAAAGGAAGAAACAATTCCAAAAGATAGGAAATATTCTGGCTTTATTTGGCAGAAATAATTGGAAGAAATTTTGGACATACAACGATACTAACGCTGTCCATTGCTAATCTGCAAAGTTTCCCATTCTTTGGGTACGTAAACCACTTCTACCAGAATAATAATGGTATCTCGTACTGATCTGCGCATCGAACATATTCATCTCTTTGTGTCGCGCTCATCAGTCTCCCGAAAGTCGCCATTGCGATTACACATATACGACGCGTTTTCACTTTCTTCCGGGACAACCAGGTGATATCATCACGCCGTCGTATGACCGGCTGACCCAGTTCGAAGTCGCACGCGCGTCCATGAAAGTGTCGGGAAAAACGTGTGATCCTTTTTCTTTTCACGGAAGAAAGGAGCACAACGAGAAGTTACGCCGTCTGCTGAGATCGCGCGGGAATTCTCGGCTGTTTCGTCAGTTCGTGACATAACGATTAGTAATGGTCGGGAAACAGCGAACATTCTACCATCGCACCACGTACATGATTCAGGGGAGTCTCTCTCTTTTTTTTCTCTGTTTCTCTCCCTCCCTCCCTCTCTTTTCCTCTGTATATATATGCCCGTCACCAACCCGTTTCGCAATCGCTTTCTCCGATTATGCAATGCGGATAGGTTGTTCACCCATCTTTGTTCGCCGAAACAAGCCACCGGCGGTTGCTGCGAGAGAGAGAAGGTGCTGTTATCATCTCACGTTTGTATTACGTTACGTTAGCGTTTCGTTCGTTTATGTGCGTGCGCACGCTATCGCAATCACGATACGAGTGCATTTCTCTCATCTACGCACGATACTCGAGTCTCACACGGCTAATAAAGCGGGAAAAGCGAGTCGAGGCGCCGTTGAGAAATCGCCAACGATAATTATTACCCCGCGAAAACCGCAACGACAAATACATCCGTTGAACGTAACCGTTTCGCGCTTCACGGTAATAGACCTATTACCGTAGAAAGATTTACAGTATCTTTCCTCCGACTTTCTGCCAGTTCTCCGACATCGCCCGCGCGACCGCGCTGCCTACCAGAATGCGTAGGCAGCCGTAAGTTGCGCAAGCATTACAATATTACGAGCTGGGGCTGGAACAAAAATTCGACTGTACACGTAATATCGGTTACGTGAGCGTTCGAAGAGCGACTTGGCGCGGGGACGGAGACGGTAATGAAAGGAGCCGCGAGCCTTGGCGAGAGTACGCGATTCGCATCTTCGTAGGACACGCGTCGTAGGACACGCGTCAGCCCTGAGCCGGTGAATCGGCCGAATAGACAACGAATAATAATCGATGATGTTAATCGAGTAACAGATCACGCTGTGTTGTGTGTCTTACGTCAGTTTTGTGCGCGAGAGTTGATGAATGTGATCACGATCGGTGTGTATGTATGCACGTGCATACATACACACACACGCATACGTACGACATCCACTACAAAATGATGGAGCTAGTTAAGGGAGCCGTCTTCTTCCGCGTAGAAAGTGCCACTTATCGCGTTACTGTCCGCCGCGAGCTTTCATCCGCGGCGTCGATCGCCGTTACGCTCGTAAGAGCTTTTTTGTGCGAGAATATTAGGAGGCCACGTTACGTCAGATGATAATCTCCGTCCTCTCGTTTTCACGTCGATTCGCAACGTCACCTCTACCGCCGCGCTAAAGATACCATTGCTCGCTCGCTCATACGCTTGCTCGTTCGCTCGCGTAATCGTTACGTGGACAAACGGCCCGTCGAAGGGCTCCGTCGTGTATTACGACGATTATGCCATGGCGCTTTCGATCGTTAACTCTGTTGCAGCTTGCTTCTCGTGCGATTCGATCATCGTGGTCGGCAACAACGAACGAATCCCGCGCCAATTTCCCGCGACACAAACGATTGTTCTCTTCACCAGCGTACGATATTCCCTGACCTTTGCTAATCACGACCTCTACGAACAAGGACGAGGATCGTCGCGCGAATTGAAATTCGCACGGCGTCGGTTCACCTGGCGAATTATTCCGCGACGCGTGACCGAATGGCCTAAGGATGTCACTGACGTGAACATCATATATGACGTGCGTTTGTCTTATAAAGTAAGATCATTTGGATGCGTTTGATTCGTGTGAATGAAATATTAAACGTTGATATCTCGGAAATGCATGCTCTTCGGAGAATCAAGAGAAGCTGCGCTTATCGCGTGATAAAACTGATCACAGTTGACTCAGCATTGAAATTGTGCATTGTGCATTGTGAAAGGCGAACAAAATTAAAGTAAACAAACCGATATATAATAGTTTTAATATTTACTAGATTCCAATCAAATTTCTTAACTATATGCAATGTAATATTCGTGTTAAAGCTGTGTTGAGATAATCGTGTTTTCTCGGAATGAAATATTATATAAAATATCTCGGAAAAATGAACAAATATGTAAATATATATTATAATGTACAAATATGTAAAATCATTGCGTGACTTATAGCTGGTGTTTCCAGTTCAAGCGTTCTTCAAGCGCCTAGTAGAGCAATGTGATATACTATTGCGCCGGTTTAGCGATAAGGGCCAGATGGTGTGACAACTGAGACCACAGTGCCAAAATGTTTTTATTGTTTGCACTTGTTACAATGAACTACGACATATTAATGCAAATTTTCAAATGTAAATTTGAAAATATTAGCGTCTGTCTGACCATATCGCTTTGTAACGAGAAAATGAATATTTCGCAAGAAACGAATAAGTGCAGTTGTAAAAAAGTGCCAACTGTTTAGGGCGTAGCAGGAGTAATTTAGTATTTGGCTATTTAGATTTTATATCTTTAATTTTTTTTGTCAGGAACATATGAGGTTGCTCTATATTTGCTCGTACTTGCGAAAGAATATAGAGAGAATCGCATAAAGATATATATATATATATATATATATATATATATATATATATATATATATATATATGATGTTTCTAGTTGCTTTATCGCCGAGGTAATACAAGTAAAATTAATTAATCTTTAGTGAAAAGCAATTCTTCCTAAACATTTTTAAAGATTTCTTTGGAAATTTTAACCGAAACGGCATCAACAGGGAGCTTGTTATATAATAAAATTATATATTATTTATAAATGCTCCCTATTGATGCGTTTCAGATGCAAAGTCCAAAGTCTGTTAACAAATATAAAGGCTACTAAATATCAAGACCTAATGAATGTTAAAGCTATTATGTCGCATTGTTTACAACTTGATATAACTGATATAGAAGACGAATACTTAGCATTTCCGGAAGCTGTGTTTTTCTTGAAGTTCTCCAGATTCCCCGCGAATCTGAATTTAATTTTCATGTAGCAAAATTCTGGGATGAAACGTCGTATCTGTACATGCTTGAGTATTCAAACTGCTAAGTTATCTGTTAAGACATTTATCGCGAAAAGTTCAATGGAAATCAACTAGATAACAAAGTATCCTTATCCCGAAGCTTTCCTTATTCCTTAAAGTCTCCGAATTTGCCTTTATTTCCAATGAAAAAAGTCACTCATAGCTCTGCGTTAAGGCAACGATCATTTTGTTTAATTTAACACTGAATATCTATGCGATTTAAGAAAATCGCAGAGTGAAGTTTTGAATAGAAAGAAGAAAAAGAAGCTATATATCAAATAAAGTGTATCGAGCGAGCACATGTGTAAATGAAGTTAACACACTAATCCTAATCATATGCTTACTCGATGTGGAAGTTTCTTGGCAGAAACCGTCCGAAATGACGCGCTTCTATGTTCGTCAGCACTATACTAGATATCGTGATAATGTGAACGTACCCCGTTCGTGGTGGCTCAGGTGGACACACTTGGACGTGACTGCCCCTCTCTCGCCGCTCGATCGCTCTTTTATAATTTCCAGCTGCGCCCTTCCTCTCCTCAACTACCCGTTGCCGATCGCGCAGCGAACGAGCGAACGTGTCCTCGCGTGCACCCGCGGATCCTTCGAGATACCAAGGAGGACACTACCTCAGATTCGGTCTCTCTTCTTCACGTTGCTCCCCGAAAGAGCGATTTGATCGCCGTCACAATCACCGTCTCTAAACTTCGCTGACCAGGAAATCGCGGAGTGCGCGCTGTTTTACCCGCACTTTGTCCTTTTATAGCTACCTAGGCGCTAATGTGAGTTTAAACGATGCGCTACAATTTCGTAACGATCCTTCCGCGCCGCCAAAGTATATATATGTATTCGATTCGGTGCGCTTCCTTTCGATATCCGCGTTCCGGAATCGTTTTACTCCTCTCGTCGTTTCCCTCGTCGTCAGACATCCATAATCGCGATATAGACATTATATAGCATAATTAATATCGAATATAGGCGTAATTGCGCAACGAGCCGCTTGCGATGATGTCAATATGCCGCGATGTTTTCTTGCTCGAGCAGACAGCGAGCGCGTTATCTGATCCGAGTACGTCAGACATCAACAGCGTATCGCTGCATATGTGTTCCTATTTCTTTGCAAATATATGAATCTTCCGATCCTTCTTCAAATTATTACGCGAGCAATAGTGTTCTCGCCTGGAAGATTAGCAATCTACTCGATATGTAATAAGCAATTTACTCGACAGTTTTTAATTCGTTTTAGCAGGCGTAAAACTAGTTATTCCTCGTATAAAACATAAAATTGCAATCTCCACTGCTACTAATAACTATGTCCAATATTATGGTAACTATTGCGTAATAGAATACTATTTGCGGCGATTAAATGGAATCGAAGCAAGAAATATGCGCTTCTTACCTCTTGTGTCCACAAGTATGACCACTGATTATGCGATTATGCGACCAGCGATTATGAAGTAGAACCGATAACTTCGAGATGCAGTTTTATTTTTGCTACGAGTAATTTATTATTTCTCCTTCGCAAAGAGTAATACTTCAGTCAACGAAAAATTATAATCTACTTTCTCCTGTGCTCAATTATCGAAATAACAGCTCAAGGAAAAGAGATGACGGCAATTTTTCACGAATTTTAAGACTTAATTTCGAATTTTAAGTCTTAACTGAGTATCTCGTAGGTCTCTAGTCATTAAAATAATCGAGAGGTATCAGTAAAGAGTCAATTTCGCTGTTTTCCAAGTTGATTAAATTGCTTTCATGCCAGCAGCGAATTTTACGACGGACAACTGATACAAACAATGACGCTCGAGGAATCGCACGTTATTATCATATATGAGAGCGGTATTGACAAAGAAAGGTCCAGAAAAAAAGTGTCATTCTCCAATTTTTATGAATTTTTAATCTGCAAAATGCCCCGAAAGTTATCATTTTTCCCTGACAGTCAATAAATTGCTCTAAAATAATCGTGGCAAAATCATGAGGAAAAGTAGATCAGAGAACAAAGTGACATGCCATGTTAATTTTGAAAAATCAAAAAAGAGCGATAAATCAATAAAGAGCGATTTGAAAAATCAAGAAAGAACGATATTTCACACTAGTTGTGATCCTTTGACAACTTTATGTTTCGTCTAGAAAGTTTAGATTCACGCATTATGCATAATCAGCAAAAAAGTTATGTGTATATGGGTGATTTGGTAATTATATACTGATGTAAACATAACGAAATTGAATATCATCGTATGGACAATATTATATTTGAATGCAAAGGCTGGTAAAAGTATCACAGATGATTTAAAATCAATGTTGCGTATTAGTCAATGGAAAAAATTGTTTTGATTGAAATAATTAAATCAGTAATCAAAATTAATAAATCGTCATATATAAAATCATAAATAATGTCATTAATTGACGAAATTAATTATTAATCAAACCTACAAAATATCTTTTTCTAGTAAAATTATTAGTAGCAAGTATATATTAATGGACGCAGTGTAGCGAGTATATTATGTCGTTACTAATAGGAAGTGGACATTACTCGAGTCATCCTTGAACCGAAGGAGTGATTATCCGATGTCATCAAACGGATGTAAAGTGACACTCGGACGTAACCAAGCTGAAAATAATCGGTAAGATCCACAGCTTCGCGCAGAGAACGGTGATCGCGCCGGGGGTTGCAAAACACAAAAACAGGATGTCCGTATCATCGCAATCTTAATGAATCGTTAAGGAAGAAATTGTCGGGTAAAAGTCTCGTTTTCTTGCCGCGGAGCTCCCTTCTTCCTCCCGCTCCAAGCTAGCAGCTTTTCTCTTTTTCTTTTTTTGCGAAAGAGACTAGAAAGATATCGCCACGATAACGCGATCGTTTTCGGGAGTATGTAAACTTTCTCTATTCGCTGACGGGTCGTTCGAGGAAGTAGAGTAACGGATAGCAATTGAAACTGCGCGATATAATGTACGGGGTCTTTGCGCATTACACGACGAACGTAACTTCTGACCGGTTGCATCATTCGCGCACGTAAGAGGTAAATAAGCGATACTTTTTATTTTCGCGACGTAACACTATGTACGCGCTCCGGGCTGAGGTTTCAACATTGATTGATTTGTCTTCATATTGCGCCACGCAAGGATATCGCATAAGAGTGATCAAAGAAATAATGAGCTTAAGGAATTAACATAGACATAAAATGAAACGGACGACATTCGCAATGGAGGAAATCCCGCTTTCTAGATTTAAATACCGATACAAATCGACAAAATGCCCGACTCACTTCCGCGTTCGTCGCCTGAATATTATAAAATTCGCGTACGTTACAATAAATGAACGTTTTTATATTCAATAAGAAGTAATGCTATGATATCATAAAAGAAAATTCACGTCTCAATATAAAAGTTCATTTATTTAAGAAACTTACAAGTGTACAAAACTATATAGGCGGGATACTTCCGTTTCGTTAATTACGATTAATTACTTATAATTTAACAAAGAGAAAAATTGAGCAATATATTTGTAGAAAGTTCAACAATCGGAAGCTCGATGTGAAAGTTTATCACTAGAAAGTTTAACCTATCAACTAAAAACAGAAACCTATAATTCTGAATATAGTGAAGACAATGATCGTGGATGAATGTCTTTACGGCGCTTTTAAGTATAAATGAAACATTAGTCTTGAGTTTTTCGCGTTTTTGGTACTTAAATCTTTTTTACGTTTATAATAATTGACTGTTACAACAGTCAGTGTCTAAAGGGCGCATCTTTCGCGTTTGAAGTCCACTTCAGCGGATTCGCAACTCTCGAAAAAGAATTATATTTTTTCAGCCTATACATTAAATATTTTATTTTGAATATATGCATTGAATACATGCAAAAAATATAATGAATATATACATAAAAAAAAATTATATGTTTTATAATAAAAAATACAATCCTCTCCTGACTGTTCGATCGTTTGATTCCCCAAAGTGGACTTCGAAAAATCAACTTACTTGTGACGATTGCTTATTAAGATAATTATGATGAAAGACAAATAAATTGGGAAACAATTGAGCGATTCTTTTTGTTTACGTAAGAACGACCATCGGTAACAACGTAATATGAAGTTGCGGTGCTTATAGTTCGGTCGCGTGTCATTATGAAGCTTCCACACGCAACACACACGCGGTCACTCACATCGTCGCGGGTCCAAGTGCGATTGCACGGATGAGGGCGGTGAAAGAGGAGGACAATTTCCTAAGCAGAGTCTTAGACATTACACATTTTCTTACCCAGAAGTCTTAATCAACGTGACTTCGCCTAACCGCGCGTGACCGCGTTGAATTACCGGGTTTCGCCGGATATGAGCAGAACGCACCTCGTGATCGTCTCCCGCAGAGAGTTGCGTCGAGGCACGTCTTCCCTACGACGATTCGGAAGCGATGCGCGTGGAAATTTCATCACGCGTTTCGTATCAACGTACCGTGACACTTACGTATGTGCGGCACTTAATGCTTTCGCCACGAAATTAAATCAACGCGCGTTGCTCCTCTACTTTTCGCGGCGCTGATATTATGAGAGATTATTCCTTGATACGAACGATATTCTGGACGCGGAAACGCGCTTTGAAGGAATCAGAACCCTGAAGAACATATAACCTCGCTCGCGATAGGAACTATTTGTGATCTTAATGCCGTTAAAATATGTTGCAGATGAAATAATATGCGCGTGTATGAAGTAGACGCTATGAGTATTGTCGCGGCGCTATTAGAATGCTTTTGCCTCAATTGCTTCATCACATTTTTCGCCTTCAAAGGAATCGCGCGGGAGCAATCCTTTTACTGTCTACCGATCACCTGAACCTTGCTGTAGGCCCCCTTGCAACCAACGTTATTTATCATCAACTGTTGTTTGACAAATTCGACATCGTGGTCGGAAAGCGTCATTCCGCTGTGGTGCACCGCGTCGGCGATGCACTTCTTTAAAACGTCCTCGCCCAAAGGTTCGTAGGTGATAACCTTGACATCGAGGTTCTCGTTGGCGAAGGAATTCCTTATCGCCTCCGCGCTTCGTTCGAGATCCATGTTGCGCGTCAAATTGTCGTTCATATGCTCGACGTTGAACACAGCCAACACGGTGATATACTGATTGGTCGCCACATTCTCGCGGATCTTCAAAAAGTCCACCACGTGTGCCAGGTCGTGTTCCTTCAGATTCTCCAAGACAATTAGCTTCGGGTACAAGAAAGAGAAGCCGACGTCGTTCATGGTTATAACGATCGGTGGGAAGTATCGACGGACGGAGTACTTCGGGAAGTTACTCTCCACGATCTCGATCGTGTAGGATTTGCCGACACCCGTACCGCCCACAAGAGCGATCACCTTCAAGGTAGGCTCGTTCAGTCGAAGGTACTCCCCCATAGCCTCCACGGCTCGATCCTGACCGTAGATCCGTTTCTTCAGCTCGGCTGTGACGTTCGCGAAAATGGTACTGTGCTGATAACTCTGCTCGCGAAACACAAGAGAGGTGAAGACTACGCATAATGGAACTAACAGAGAGAGGAACATCTTCAATAACACGTAACAACCGAAGTTGCTCTGCTGTTTCGTTGAACGTTTTGGCACAAGCGATCGGAGACTCTTTTTCATTTCCTTGTAGGTCTTCGACTTCGCTTCTTGTACGTTCTTGTCTGTGGAATCTTCCTCTTCGTCTTCAGAATCCTTCACGAGATCTTTTGGCACGATATCCTTCTCCACAGCGTGTGATTCCTCCACTTCCATGTGATTTATCGACTCATCCTCGACCGACTCGACTTCAGTGTCTTGATCAAAATTCACGCCTTTCTCGAAGCATTTCACTATATCTTGGTGGAGGAATTGCCTGTTGACGAAGGAACGCTTAGTTAACGACATTTGAAGATATCTTAATGATTCCTGAATATTAATTGTACGCATTAGCCTGTCAAATTCTCAGCATTGAAATGTCCATCCATCGAATAATCGAGATGACTCTCTCGATCTTATCATATCGCTGTCAATTAATTATTTTTGCTTGAAACTCGATTAAATTACTTTTATTCTGAACATGCTTAAGGATTAAAGCATGCATTGTTCGTAAATATGCTATTCTGAGCAATTCTTAATTATCCACATATAATGTCAAAAACAACGCGATAAAGAAGAATGAGGATTCGTCGCAAAGAATTTAATGCAGATGTTAATTTGACACAATCCGTGGCACCAAACGAGCAGACTCGAGACGACTTTGTTTCTTTATTCGCTCAATAAAGCTGCTCGAATTGAAACTTATCTCATAGACCTGATCCATAGTCAAATTGGTCCCAAGCAGTTATTTAACAGAGTGATATTTAAAGTGATGTGTTATCGGATCCTAATTATTAATAATCCTTATTATTAATAAGGATTATTGCCATCTTATTGCCATGCTGCATCATATGACAGATAACATTACTAAAGCTGCGTTTTGGGCACTTTTGTGCTTTCAAAAGCATCATTCCATCTTTCTTTGGCATGCAATGAGCATTAAAACATCCAAGAGAATGCAACTTTTGTACAGATCAGATAATTGAATGGGATCAACTTGATCAGGATCATGGAATAATTTCTAGTTTAATACTACACTATGCGATACCTAAGGGGATCGGAGCTTCCGTTAAATATATCCTTACGGAACATTTGGTAAACGTCTATCGTTGAAGCTTTGTGCAGATATATTTCGTCCGAATGCAAATACATCCAACTCCAGAAAGAGTACTTTTCAATGAGAGATTTCCACTTTTTCAAATTGGCATCCTTAGACGAATCAGTATTGAAGATTTTGTCTTCGTAAATTAGAGAGCTCTTGTCAACTTCTGTCTTGCCAGACATAAACGGAAAGGCTTCCTGAGAAAAATAAAGCGGTCCGTCAGTCGCATAACCTTCAAATTATGACGATGACAATACAATATTTGACGCCTGCACTACGCCCGTCAATTCTGTCCTGTAAAAGGGAGCACGTGTTCTAGGAGAATATTATTTACCTGATGTTCGTCTGTCCATATCACGTATCGTAAATAGCGACGTAAATATTGGCGAGAAGATCAAAGAGAGACATTGAACATATAGACGGGATCAGCATGTATACAATCGAGTCGAGACAAGAAGCCTGTTCTTTTTAGCTGAACTGGTGCTGCACAGGAGGGAACTTGGTTCCCTCTTTTTCTTCAACGCCAGATTGTATACTTGTTTCACTCTAAAGAGAAAAAAGTGCAGCGTAGTTCAGATAAAAAGAGTAAGTTCTTTAAATGGAACACGAACGACGCGTGCTCTCACAGCCCTCTTTGATATAAAGATACAACTAAAACGTCGACTGCGATAAATTATGAGGTTTTTAAACAATGAAACTCGTTCGTCATATTGTGACATTGTACTTCAGTGAAGTCTTATCATTGTGAATAACTTTATATCACATCTTCTTCTAATGTCTTTCATATGTTAACTGATCGTTCATATTTTCAAATTATTTTTTCAATATGAGGAATTCATCAAAATAACAAAAAGATCTCGAGACCATTGTTATTACCATATTATTTAAGTTAATTTATGTTTATTTACCGACTTCCAAAAAAAAACATGGGTTCCCTACTTGATCTAAAGTTCAGCTACACTATCTGCACTTCGCAGTCTTCCCCTCCCTTCGGCCTTTAAAGCGCGTTCGTATACTCGTTTCATTTCGAGTGCAGAAGGTACAGAAACACATACACCTGACTGACAAGTGCTCCGAGAACGCGTTGTCGGCCCTGAGGACGTATGACCAGAACGTTGCTACCAGCGAAACATTATTCCCGCGTCGCCAGACACACCTGAGAATCGCGGCTGAATTGTCGAAGGAGCTCGGGAGGATCCTGAAGACGCGTTCTTCTCCGCTTCATTGCTCAACTGGGATAGAAATCCGCGCGACATCACTGACGACACGTGCACGTCTGTCGAGGCTCACCTCGACCGTAGTACGGTTTGGTCCGGTTCGTGCGTTCCCCGCGTTCATCACGTGGCGAGCACACGATCCGTTCGCGGTGTTCCGGCGCTTCCGGCGTCCTGGCACCTCAGTTCCTGCTCGCGTATCGACGAGCGAGGACGAAGCGTCGGTTCGTGAGGTGGTGCGCGCGCGCGAGATCCGCTCGTCGGTGGTGATGTGATCGGCGAGAAGCCCGGAGCGAAAAGGCGGCCGCAGTGCAAGCAGCTGAAAATGCAGCCGAACGTAGTCACGTTGGCGCGTTGCCTGCCGCTTCTGCTACTGATGGTGGCCGCAGCGAGCGCGAGGATTCACAAGCTGGACATACGGGTCGGTTGCTGCTTACGCGCGGTCGGTGATTCGATTCTTCGCATACCGCGCGATTCTATTTCCCTCATCCTCTCCCCCCGCGTGATTAATTAATTCGTAGACATGAACGCACCGTGAGTGGCAATTTACAAGAATTCGCGAGCCGATCAATTCGCAATTGGCGAATAGAGAGAGAGTGACGCGCGATCAGGCTCGCGTCTCTGCTTGCTCATGCCGCCTCGAAGGCGTCGGCGATCGACCGCGTATAGCGTGACGGAATAATCTCGCGGAATGAAGAGCGAAGGACGCTCGCAATTTCACACGGAGGATCGCGGTATTGCGCAAAATGTCAATAACGATGTCACGCTTGAACGGCCTCTCTGGACAATCTCTTAGGGATCGTGTCGTGATTCTATGTCGCCGCGAATGAAGGAGCGGAATGATGATGGGCTCTATTAAATCATCGCGACTGCAACATGACGCGCAGAGCCGCTTTCTTTCTGGAGCGACGATGAAAGTTCCGTAATAATTGCGACGGGCGTTATCGTGGCGGGTGTGTTCCGTTATAAACGAGCATACGTTGATCCGCATGATCAATTGGCGGAGCAACGCGCCGTAACATTTTGCGGAGTGACTGTGCAAAGTGAAAGCCGAAGGACGCGCACAATCCATAGATCTCAGAGCGAATTGTTTGCGGAGCAACGGTACCTGGCTTCCCACGTTCCTCCCCACTCCACGTCCCGACCCTTCGTGAAAGACTGCAGCGTGAGTTAAATGTGACATTTGCATTTCAGAAAGACAACCGACCGTACATTGCTCTGACTACGTTCGGCTTCTACAAAGGCGGCATCCTTACCGTGAACCTCACGAACTTCAAGTTCCAGACGGTAGACGATAAGAAGTTAACGCCGGAGACGACGGACAAAGCTGTAGTAAGCTCCCGTGGGAAATCGTTGACTCCTCTCTGTTGTGTGTTTTTGTATCACGACGTTTTGTACCTTGTTTACAAATATCCGATATTTTTCTCACAGTTTAACTCTTTCGTCCTAAGAATGCCATGATGACGTATGATCGAAAATTTCTTATAAAACGTCGCGTGCGTCTTATAAAACAGTGCCTTTCGAATTTTAAATCACTTTTGAAACCGACGGCAGCTAGATTTAGATGCAATACCAAAAGGCGTGTTTTTTCTCGGGTTTTATAAAATATTCTCCAGTTGGCGCACAAAGGGTTGAAGTTTCGGGGCAGCAAAGTCACGGTCACGAATGTTTGGAAATCAAATTAATTCTAACCTTTCACCGTGACGGTACGTTTTTGCGTTGATCGATTTGATAAATCTGCGAAGGAAATTTCTCTATTACAACTCTTTTCTTTCTGCCGTGACAAATAACAATGCCAGGAAAAATGGATCGTCGAACGAGTCGAATTTCAAAGCCCGCTTGTTCGCATAGTCCATGTCATCAATTAAGCTCTAGTTACAGACTGCGTTGCATGCCACGCGATACACGTCGCCCTGTCGCAGCTCTGCAGCGACGGACACCTGTTTCTACCGCCTGCACCTCGACATTCACGCGCGATGAGAGCTACCCGCGTTTATAAATACGTGCACGCGGGTATGCGGGCACTCGCTATGCATCATCGAAACTGTTAAACTCGTGTGAATGACTCGTTCACACCGTCAAAGTAGATTATACCTGGCACTTGAAAGTGCTCATTGTTCTTGTTGCCTGATATTTATGGTAGCTTTGTTTTCGACACAGCGGCGCCCGTTGCAACTCGTTTGCGGAAGAGCCGTTGAATTCGTCGTAACGGAGAGGAAACTAATTCTTCCCGAGAAAATCAAAACGAGGAAAAGACGATTGTAAATTTCGTGGATTCGAAGGATTTTCGCGGATTTTGTACATGCAAGACGCCTTGACTTGATTGCAGTTCGGATTCAGCCTTGACCGAACGCTCATCGACGCCATCAATCCTTACATATACAATCATCTGGAGAGATGCTTACTGCAAAACGCTTCCACCCCGCGGGTGGAGCCGAGGGACGACAGCTCGATCATATATTTTACGATGGATTTGAAGAATTTGGTGTAAGTATATTCTTTAAATTCCTTGCAGTGAAATCTCACTCAATACGAGGAAAAATACCGTCACTCGGTATCCCAAGAATGAATGTTTAACTCGAGCTTAAAATAGACTCTTAATCAATACGAATAAATGCTTCAGTCGATTAATGTAATTTTGTCCCAGTCAAGGTTATGCCATAAAAGACATTTTTATGAATAAAAGAGAGTTTAGAATAAAGTTTCACCTTGTGTCTCTAGATATTTTCAAATGTTTAAAGAAATAATGAAACTATTCAGTTTCCAAGTCCTCTGAACGAATGCAACTGACACTAATCTGAAAACCATATAGATAACATCTAGATAACAGTATCTCTAACGGCTCTCGAGTTATGAGGGAACATACATACAAGATAAACCGAGAATCTTCTTTTTAAAAAGTCGATTAAAAAATAAGGATCTAGACTATATTAGGCTATAAAGGCTTTGAAGATGTATATCTAATTAAAAGAAAGATAGTTATTTAGTGTGCTGGCGGCAGAAGCGTTTGGTATATTTCGATCCAAAACAAACGTTTCAGTTGCGAGGAATGCTGTCGAAGTCTCGGCGGCCAAATTACTACGACGTTCCTCCCAGCAAATGGGCAGGTCCAGGTTCTGGCTGAGGCAGTATTTTTCGCAATTTCAAGTAGGAATTAGAAAAAAATACGCAATTGGGAATTTTAAACGGGGGAATTAATTAAATAATAATAATTGGGATTCAGGGTCGGTTTGACGTGAAAGGTCTCATTCACCGCATACGATGTAAAATCGGAAAAGCATTCGGCCTGTGCGTCTAACATAGTCAAACATTATCCTCCTTTACTCGCACCGACATCCAGCGTACGGCTCTTATAAGCTTTATTTTTCTCTTAATTAATTATATATCTTCAGGGGAAAGACCTTGATATACAGTTTAGTTCTTTGATGCGCTGGCGGCAGAAGTATTTAGTATATTTCGATCCAAAACAAATAACATATAAGTATTTCAGTGGCGGGGAATGCTGTCGAAGCCTCGGTGGCCAAATTAGTACGGCGTTCCGCCCGGCAAATAAGGAGATTCGACTTCTGGCTGAAGCCAATATTTTTCGCAACTTCAAATATAAATTTAAAAAATGTGCAATTGGCAATTTTAAATGGGGGAATTAGTTAAATAACGATAATTGAGATCCAGGGTCGGTTTGCCGTGGAAGATTAGGTATATTGTAAGACCGGGAAAAGACTCGTCGCGCACGTCTAACACTGCCAAACATTATTATCTTCTCATTAAAATTTATTTGCGCACTGACATCCAGCGTTCTTAGGCGTTCGTAGGTCTGATCTTTCTCTTAAAAATAACGATGTTTGATCCACGGCCAAGAAAAGAGAAAGTGGAAGACCTCGGGACAATAACTCGCGGATAATCGCTGTTGCAGGATGCACGTAAACTGCAGTCGCAACGTGCGTACGATGCATATTTACAAGGATACCAGCAGGATACTGATGTTCCGCACCAAGAGGGGTTCACTACCGGCGCGACTTAGCGACACCGCGCTCTTTCCCCGAAGGAAGCGGAACACGTCGCATGGTAAGTGGTCGTCGCGCGTCTGCATCGAACAGCGCGCGCGAGAGCACACCGATGTATTTTTATTCATCGCGGCGGAATGCGCGAAGTTATAAATCGGCTGGCATAAATATCGCTAAGAAATATCGGGATTCGCGAGCGCGAGCGCACGCGGAATTTCGCGAGTGTCGCGCGCTCTTCGCCGATCTTCGACGGTGCGTCATGTCGTGCAAAGCGAGAGCAGAAGTTTATACTTAAATAAATGTGTAATGTTGCACAACTCGTACAGTATCGAGTGGCGGGTCCGCGAGTAAGCTGGGACGTGCAACATTTGGCATGTGTTTAAAGACGATTTAATTAGGCGAGAGGAGATAGGCCGCGCGATGTGATGTTTCACTTGACTTCGTTGCGCAATCGATCCGAGAGCGCGATCCGCTTCGAAAAATTCCGATCCGCGAGAGGGAAAGAGAAAGAAAGATAGAGAGAGAGAGAGGAAGAGAGAGAGAAGAGAGTGTTTGCTATTGCTATGAATAGAGTGATGCACCGTGATCCCACGGATAGGACACGCGCGTAGAACACGGCGTCTGGTAAATGTTATCAGCGATGCGTACCCCCGCTCGGCTCTATATCGAAAATAAACCGTCACACGGCATACGCCAGATATTTTCGACACTTCCAACACCTAATATTAGAGATGTAATTCAACTGCAACAGATAGAACAGGTGCGAGCTGGAGGAGAACTTGGCTGATGATCCTGAGACCGACGCGACCGCTTGTCGCGCATGTACCAATTATCATCAATTATTATTATCTCGACAATTTCGTGTTCTTCTTTTAGGGACTCATGCACGATCGTGATTCTCTTGCGAAATTGTCCACGTCAAGATAACATGTTCCATCCATATGTGCCATGAGTACTGATAATTCATATGTGAATCACTGATAATTCGCATTGAACTTCGCATTCAGATTGGTATTTCGGCCTTAAAACGAAGTATGATTATGAAATCCTCTTATGAATATTATGAGGCACATGTTATTTATCAAATATAATAACCTGATAATATGTGGGTTATTGGTAATATATAAAATCGGATAGGACACATAAATGTCGACAACAATGTTGGACATTAATTGATGATTAAACTTTTGTGTGATTGACTAAAATAATCGGCAAATCAATAATCAAAATTGACCAATGGTTATATATGAAATATACGAAAAGCTTAATTGATTGATGATATAAATTATTAATTAAACTTATATATGAATAATTCATAATTAATGTCATCAATCGATTACTCCTGATATACGACGATTAAGTGATTTTGATTATTAATTTAACGATTATTGTAATAAAATTTTAATCGATCAATGCTCAACACTGGTGAGCAATGCCGACGAACGAAGTGCAGCGAACGAAGCTGCCTGTATCAAGTAGGTCGCTAACGGAAATGCAAAGTGATCCTTTCACCGTGAATTTCTCGCGTTGTATGATTATACACTCACTGGCGAACGAAAAGGCTAACCCAGCGTGTGGAAGAAAAACGCCGCAAGCCTATAGCGAAAAAATTCGCGCGCTAAGCGTATTCGCGGCACGAGTCCGCGCATTCTCCGCACCTTTCCAAATGATGATCGATGATGACCGCGAGACCGCGGTCTCGAGGCGACATCGGCGATCGAACACAGCACTGAAAGAGAGAGATGAGGCACGCTATAATTAACGCGTCCCCGATCTTATAAATAACGCGAAACTCAGGTATTTTTGAAAGGTGCAGTTAGGTAACTATCTTTTCGTACAGAACATCCGTCTTGGGACGTGCATGTCAATCCCCGTCGACGATTACAGTTCTCGAGCACGGCAAGCGTGTCGTCGAGCGAAACGAGACGTTGACATCGACTGTGATGACGGAATGAGATCATTGTCTCTCACGTGGCCAAGTTTCCCTCCACCCCGTTAATCCTTTCAGAACTGAAGAGGAGATTTTTGTGTAGAGCTCGCGAAGCCCATCGGCCACGATGACCTGAACGGCGGGTCGGACAGCAACATATGCCGTGTGAAGCTACCGATGACGATGAACACCCACGCGAACGGCGAGAAGTCGTACAACACGAGCTTCGTCATGTACGTGGCCACCGAGGAGGAAGAGGGCCTGTACAATCTTTACTTTCACAATTGCCTGAATTACAATTACGAGGCTCCGCTGGCGGTGGACTTCACGGTAAGATATTATTCGACGATCGATAGGGTATATTTAAGGAACGGCGCAAATGCGTGTCCGCGGGGTCGTAAGAGTAAGTCGCGCTGAAACAAACGAATTTGTCTTGTCGCAGATGCAAATAGCGGAGATTAATAACGACAACTTCCTCAGCGCTGGCGAAATGCCCCTGCCAGCCTTGTACTTCACGATGGCGCTTCTCTTCTTCTTGTCGGGCTGCTTTTGGGTGTTCATTTTGGCCAAGAGCAAGTAAGAGAAGCGACAGTTATGGCGCGCGACGATGTAGCGCGACCAGGTGTTATAGCGAGGGTGGGAGTGTAATCGTTACTCCTCCACGTTCTCTGTCTCCACAGGCGCTCGGTGTTCAAAATCCACTACTTGATGGCGGTCTTGGTATACCTGAAGTCGCTGTCGTTGTTGTTCCACGGTATAAATTACCATTTCATCCAGACCAAAGGCGAACACGTGGAGGCGTGGGCAATTTTATACTATATCTCTCATCTACTGAAAGGCGCCGTTCTCTTCATCACTATGGTGCTCGTTGGCACCGGATGGACCTTCATAAAACACATTCTCTCGGACAAGGAGAAGAAATTCTTCATGCTCGTCATACCGTTGCAAGTACGCGCGTCGCGATATGTTTCTCCTCTTATTTAAATTATTCCATTTTATTTTATGAGGATTATTTTTTTTAATCTTATTTAAATTTTAAAAAATTCAATAAACGGAGAAGTACCGAAAAATTGAAAAACCTTTTCTATCACGTTTTTATTAATATCGCTTCTGTCACGGAAAAAATATTGCAGCAAAAATTACAAAATTTTTTTAATCTCTTGGACTGTACAGAATCTTATAACCGAAATTAACTAGATATTTGTTTAAAAATATTAGATACGTTTTATTTTTTGTTGCAAAATTATTGTCATTACTTTAATATTGTTTATATCATATACAAAAGTCGAATTTATTTATTTCAGTAGTCTAACAAAAAAGTATTGCAAAAAGAGAAATATAATTTTCACTACAACATTTTCTCCGCGTGTAGAATTCGAAACTACGTGAAATGAATGCGTGAAATAAATGATTCCGAAATTCTGAAATATTTTGTCTCTCTCTCTCTCTCTCTTTTTCAGGTTTTAGCGAACGTGGCCGAGATAATAATCGAAGAGAGCGAGGTGGGCAATCTGGAGCACCAGACTTGGCGAGACATTTTCATACTCGTCGATCTGCTCTGTTGCGGCGCAATTCTATTCCCGGTGGTGTGGAGCATCAAACACTTGGAGGAGGCCGCCCGCACAAGCGATAAGGCGGCCATCACTTTGCGCAAGCTCAAGCTGTTCAAGCATTTCTACATTATGATAGTTTGCTACATATATTTCACCAGAATCATCATGTACCTACTGAAGGTAGATACGACTGTCGTAAATCGCGTCGATGGATCTCGCGCGACACAAAACACATGTTTTCACGAACGAAATTTTACCTGTCCGCAGATTACCGTGAGGTTCGAGTACCAGTGGTTGGACGAAACGTTCCGCGAGATGGCGACCTACGTGTTCTTCGTCCTGACAGGGTACAAGTTCCGACCAGCTTCTACGAATCCGTACTTCACGGTGCCGAGCGACGATGTGCGGTTGGATGATGACGACGACAGGATGGACGTCGTGTACGTATCGATCTGTTTTGTCACGTCTGAACCCTCGACCCTTTCGAATCACATCTAAATGCTATTATGTTATGTTCGAAAATAACAGGATCGATGCGTACAGTGCAGTTAAAAGCATTATCTGACCTATTAATATCTCAAACGCGATAGAATGCGATAGATAAACGTGATAGTAAAAGAAGATAATAGCTTCTAGACTAATAGAGGAACAACGAGAAAAAGTACGTTAACAGTTAAAACTTAAATTTAAGTTTAAAATCTGTTCTCACAATGGATATGGTACAGTGTTGGATATCAATCGATTAAAATATTTTTTGACTAAAATAATTTAATCGACTGATAAAATTAAACAGCACACAGAGTGTTAAATAAGTTTTAGAAATGCGGTAGAGCAACGTAACTATGTTATATAGAAAATGATGTTTCGAATTTCAACTTTGCGCTTCGAAAGTGAGCTTCGTATCTTGATCGCTCGAATTATTATTTTCCTCTGCGTTCTACGCTATTTCTAAATCATTCTGACGTGTCCATTTTTGCCTCAGCGTTTCCGGCAGCAACGGACTGACCAAGGACTTCAGTAAAGTGAGCAAAGTGCCGAGGGCGGTGAGACCCATGAGCGGGAAAGTGCCGTCTACAGCGGAGGAACGGCACATCATCCTCTATCAAAAGACGGATTCCTCCTAATAAAATTGCGCTCGCTACGGGTCCGATTAAAAACACACACACACATATACACATACATACAAATAATACACGTGGTCGACCTGATACTCGCCACACGACAAAGACGCCCGCGTCTTCTTACGGATCTTCGAGACTGCGGATTGAAGTGGACAAGCGAGAGGTGCGCAGACGACAGTCAAAGTGAACCCTGATGGCAATGGGAAACTTAATTATAAGGATATCGCGCCACTGAAACCGCCGAGTTTCCTACTCTCGGGTCTGTTTTTTCTATTTTCCACAGAGAGGAGTGACAGAAACGACCGGTCGGGTTTGCAAACACACGAACGACAATCACGGCTGGTACAAATTTGTATTTACATTTACTTTTATTCGAGATACCTTTTGCCTTTTGGCAGCGACGACGACGACGACGACGACGAGGGTTGACCTCGGGTCGTCGTGCATCGTTTCCTTTGAGTTTTCTTTAAGTTTTCGAACATCGAAGCGCATCTCTCTCTCTCTCTCTCTCTCTCTCTCTCTCTCTCTCTCTCTCTTTCTCGAATCTCTTCCGTTTTCGCGCGCCGTCGTCCACAGTTCAATCCGACGTTAGCGCGACATTTATTTTCTTAGTGAGACACTCCAATAGGACAAACTTAGAAATAATCTTTTATCTAGTACTTATGTTACGATTCCAATTGCACGTCGCCAATTGTCGACGCGCCCCTTTGTAGTTGAGTTTTTCGTAGATATTTATAGAGAAACATTTCCATTGCGTTCCCTTTTTCCATGACACACGCGCTTAGTTTCATCGAAAGCACGCGAATCTCATTGCGTAGAATCAACGTATTCAAGGTATACTTGTTTCTCTCTTTCTCTATTTTCTTTTATTTTGTATCGCATCTTATATTCTTACTCGTAAGGGAAGCGGCTGGCTGTACCGGACCAAGCGGTGCAAGGTAAACTCTATCTAATAAATACATGTCCTCTCACTCGTGCGCGAATATTGCGCGATACTACTCCGTGCTAGAGTTAACATTACCATTATTATTACTATTATACACACGTTGTCGTCACTGTTACACCTGTTATTATCATTAACTATGTCGTATATACCGAATGGAACGCAAAAAGGGAGCCAAGTTGACAGAATAAAGCGGATATTTTTATGAAAATTGTTCGCAAATGTATTCGTTTATTTTCACCCACCATTGTGTATCATAAAAATAGTCTTATAAAAAAAATTAAGCGACTATTCCCGCGTTAAATATATGTACATGTAATATGGAATTTCTTGAATCACTTTCATTCATGGCTCGCCTCCAAGGGATGAAATCGGTCCAGAATTGTAAACGGTTCAGAAATGGAGTCGATTCATTGATGGAAGCGGTCCAGGAAACAGAGCGAGAGGAAATTAAAGAAGAAGAAGCAGAGAGTGTGATAAAGACATTTTTTGGGCTTTTTGATCTTGTTGTTGTTAATATTATGCATTATAGTTAATATCTATAGCACGAAATAAATTGCATAACAGGCGAATGCATCAGCAAGGGAAAAAAGAGTGAAAGAAAGAAAGAGAGCGATTGAAGATAGCGGCTGATAAAGTATTAATATATATCAATATCGAATAAAACGTCGGGGTGACGGCTATCAGACTTCTCTTTGATATCAGCGGGTTAGTCTCGGTAGAAGAAACGCGGAAACTCGTATAACGATCACGAATTTTCCCGGCCGATTTTCTCGCCGCTAAGCGAAGAGTTCATAAGACTTATTGAATGGTCCCTAATACCTGCAGCATCGTACTTTTCATTCCTCTCCCCCTCTCAACCACCTCCAACACTCACGTGTCTACGTGAGAGACATCACAATGACGGGTGTAGCAAGCTTGCTCGTGCGACGTTACGACGAGCGGAGGAAAAATCCTTTCACGTTTCGCGCCTGCAAGAAAAGCGCACGTGACGCTCGAAATAAGAGAGTTACTTCTTTGTTTCAGCCGGTCGGTGAAACGACGGAGTATCGAGAAATTAATACACCGGGTGTCCCTTCGGAAAAGGGGAACCGGTCGCGTGATCGAATGGGTGGGAGTGCAGCGAGAGTGAGATAATCGGCAAGTGCATTGAGTGGTCACTCGGTTTGATTCTTAGTTTACACTTCGCGGTGGAGGCGCGGTTTCAGAAGACTAGGAAAGTGGATTTAGAGGTAGCATGCTTTCATCGCTCGTAGACGTGTAGGTATACGTACGTTTTTACGATCGCTATAAACATGGTTTCGCGGTTTCGCGTTGAGACGTCGGAACTCTGCCAGTTCATAAAGCATACACAGACGCGAAAGTTGAAGAGATCCAACTGACTGACGGACTCGCGTCTCGTGCATGGTTTTGCGGCAAAGAGTCGAGGAAAGAAAGGAAAAATCCGGCCTGCTTAGTCGATCGCACTCGCCTTTTATGCCGACGTCGTAACGGTACACGTGGACGCGTCTAAGAAGTATTTTATGCTTTTCGCGACACTAACTCTTATACGCACGGATATTCCATCAGTATATCTGTAAAAAATTATTATCCTCCCGCAAGGATATATAGATATGCCACAAATGTTGGCTCGTGCGATAAGTAATTTCGAATCTGTCAGGCAAAATAAAACTATCATATTTTTATGCCATTTCATGAAACAATATATACGGAAGATGAGAGAACATCAAAACAGCGCATATATATTATTCCATAAAATAATGTCGACACAAAAATACAATCGTTTCATTTCACCCGAAAAATCCGAAGCAACTTGTTACACAACCCGATATTTGTGAATATTTAAATAATTGAATCTCTTTTTCTCTCCCTATCTCTCTTTCTTTTAATCGGCAATATTTTTGCTGTAATCAAATATTATTCATGTCAGGTTAAAGCGCCGTCTTTCGTAACTTTTACAGCATCGATAAGTCCTCATATTTTCCGTGCGAAGAAAAAGATAGTAAGTTGATAAAAGAAGTCCGAGGTCGGAAGTGCTTAAAGTGTTATTATAATCGAGCAACAACGCGATACGTTTTTAAGCTCGATACAGAAGCAGTGGAATTTTCGGGATTGAATCACGAGAGAGGAATTCAAATGCACATAGCCGGTCCTTTACCGGCAGTCCGGTATTTACACGGACAGTCCGTCAATCTCGCGGGTTCGCATCGCGCGCATTGTTCGACGATGAATCCGCGCGACACCATGAGAGCAATATATGGAGCGCGATGCGGATTTGCGACGCTTTATTTCGCCTCTATATCGGCCCCGTCAAAATGGAACGCCCACGGCGAACGGTGCTTTACGACGTTCGTTCCGTCGCGCGATCCGACTGCCGTAACTGTTTGCCCGCCGCGATAAATCCGCGTTCGATTATTCCCGCGACGATATTCCACCGCGACGTGACACAAGTCGACGGATTTTATGCGAGAGGCGTCGATCGTGCTTTCACACGCGTGACTCCGCGTAGCGTGCGAATTATCGTCGGCGTATAATTTCCTCGTCGTAATCGCGGAACAGTCATAGCTTTATCATGATTGAGGACCCGCAGATGTCCCACTTTCCTTGCGGCGCACAGGCCATCGTGAAGCGGAGGCGTAAGAGACTTCGTCGTCGTCGACGTCGACGAGGATAAGGATGTTATTGCCGTTAAGATAAATTTTGTTCTCTCCTCCTCCCTCCCTCCCTCTCTCTCTCTCTCTCTCTCTATTGATGCTCAACTAAATGGACTTTCCTCGTAGAGATAGAAAACTCGCCTTCCCCCTCATGTAAACTATTCCCCGACGCGAATAAATATCGGCGACGGATGCATCGAGCAAGTTGTATCGACGATATTTATATTTCAATGCTCCTCCGTATGAAACGAATTTTGTAGAAGCGTCTCCGCGATCGGCTCGTTCACCATTCTCGACGACGTTGGGAAATTCATCCCGCGCGACGCCCTCGCATCACGAGGTAGTCTTGATAAAATGTGCGTGGAAAGGAACTTCGACGCGATTGACTCACAATGGCATCTCGCGAAAGGGACACACGAAATCTCTTTCCATGGGTAATCCCACGTCCCCTCACTAACCCATCGACCCTATATCGAGGAGAGCGAACTCGTCCATCTCCCGTGGAGCGAGAGTGCAATTTCATCGTCTCACAGTTTCGTCTTGAGTAACCCTCGGCCGACCCCTGGACCGAGGGTCTCTCTGAGAAACATGGGTCGCGCCCAGGGAAAGAGTTCGGCCTCGTTGCATCCGCCACGTCGCGATGCGATCGAAGAAGCAGCGCGACGGAGGAGGCTGTGTCCGAGGAGCGGCACCGAAGAGCAGTGTCTGAAGAGCGTTCGTCGTGACGCGACGTGATAAACGTCCGCTCAAGTAGCGCGACGTTCCTAAGTTACGACACTCGGGGTCGCTTACACGCCGCGTCCATTGTCATTAACAGCGAGCGGGACCAAGTTTCCAGTCCGTTCGAACTCCATCAACTTCCCTACTTTCCAGGATCAGATACGCGCCTCGCGAACTCGACGTCCCCTCGTGCCGGCCGCGGATACGGGCGAAATTCATGAGGTATCATGAATTAGCAGCGCGAAATTAAGAACACCGCGTTATTTCCGACTAACTAACTAACTAACCCATTTCCCTCCTTGGCGACACGCGTTTTCCCAAATTTCACGCGATCGCCGAGTAACTTGGACTTTTCAAATCGCCGTAAATTTCGCGCTGCGAGGAGAACGAGTTTCGAATCTCCGGGGCCAAGAGGGTGATATGAATCATAAACAGCGCGTCTCCCGAGAGTTTATTGGGAACGCGAGGGTCAGAGAGACAGACGCGTAAACGCGCCATCGTTTCTGTCTTTTCTCGTCTTTCTTAACTCTCACCACCTACGTCACGCTTAAAGCCATCGTCCGGAGAAGAAGCGAGCCGAGATAGTTGACCGAGCTGGGAAACTACTCGGAATTACTTAATCAGGATCGTCGGTGTGACCCTTTTACGCGAGTCGAAACGCAGAAAGTTCGACGGCGGATCGTCGAAGGATCCGCTCATGAGAGTCTCACTTGCATCCTCCGCGGCGCGATTCCAGTGTGTCGCTAGGACGACGCCCTCCTCGTCGCCTGTGCCGTGACGACGGTGGTTACGAGCCGTAAATCCCAATCCTCCAGCTAGGTAACAACGTCTAGCCATGCAAGTAGCACGCCCAGCTACCGCACAGACGAGCGTCGTCTCGTTCCGCCTATTGTAGAAGTTACCGTCGTGTCGACGCGATCAAAGCGCAACGACGGCACAATCAACTCGACCGTTAACGTCCGTATCGTGAAAATCCGTCGCGGACGTCGCTGTGGAGTCGCAAATTTTCCGCCGAGGAAAACACAATTACCGAGAGAACGAATTACGGGTTTCGCGGTTCCTTCAAATTCGCAACTCTCGTCAACATATTCGCGCGAATGAATGCGCTTAGGAATTTCTCGACATTTCTGCAACGATTGAAAATTCTCACGCATCAGAATGAATTTCGTAAATTTCTGTGTCGTATCATTTGCAAAACTAGGCAATTAATTAATATTAACTAACAGTAAGATTTGAAAAGGCACATAAGGAGTAAGCACGGATGTTTAGTGCTATTAAATACTAATATTACTTTTTAATATTAATATAATTGTGGAAGGATAAAATTGTCCAGTATGTTAAACGCACGTATCGAAATTTTTCTTCGATTATCGTACGCGGAGAATCAATCTTTCATACTTAGACCGATCCTTGAGTCCCAATTTTTATATATATTTTTTTTATTAAAATCCCAAAACCCCATTAAACCGATGACTCAAATAGATTCATTATATATGTTGCGAAAAAACTGCCTCCGCCAGGACTCGAACCTGGAACCTCCCCACTTTCCGGGCGGGAATTAATGAATATTAACGCTAAAGTGTCCAATATTATTAAACACTTTATCTTCCTCTGTGATTTTAATAACAAGATTTTAATTATCTCACAAACCGTGAATAGACTCTCATTGGCACTCCTTGTAGCTTCTACTTTAGACAATATCTACGCAAGAGCCTGTTTATATGTAATAATTAATAATTAATAAAAATGACTGATAAATAATATACACATGTAAATTAATTTAAAAGTTTAGAAATTTGAAAATTGATAATCTGGGACATACAACTCCATGTCTTCGCCGTTATGTCCTCGCCGCAGCGAGAGAACTCGCGCCAGTCAAAGACCACGAGTTTCTAATTATCATGCTGCTGTGTCATTTAGTGAGTTTACCCGCGATGCATCGAGAGACAGGCACTCCAGTACACTCGAGTGCTCGCGAAGCAGGCCGCGATAGCTCCAGTATGAATATCGGATAAGAACCGCGCGGCGTAGTGGGCGCGCGGATGCATCGTGCATTAGAGGCTTAATATTTATAGCGCTCGGTGTACCGTGATTAGCGTCATCTTGTTACTCGCGGCGCGTCATCTTACCCCCGTTATGATTCCGTCGAGATGAACGTGCGCGCATGAGAGAGTAGAGTAGAGAAACCACTCTTCGATCACCCTCCGCGTCCTCGCACGTGTCAACGACGTCGAAAAGGGGCGCACGACCTTTTAATCTCACAACAACTCACGCGAGCCCCTCTGATCCTCCGGACTCCGCTTCCGCATTCGACGTTATCGCAAGACGTTTCCGCGGGCAAGCTCGCGAGATTATCGGGGAGATCCCCTTCGCGCTTTCTCTTCCATTTTTCTTTCTTACTTTTCACTTGGCAGCTATGCTTTTCCTCGCGAATCTCCAGCCGACGTGGAGTGCGACGCATGCGTCGGAGAGCGGCCGACGTGTGCTCGCGACAGGCCGCGAAAATTCTCCAGTTGGCGCCGCGACGCGCTCGAAGGAGCTCTCGTTCGCACGGCGAACGTACAGGAAGAAGCGTGCAAGAATACGCGCGTGCTTTCCCGCCAGTCAGAAAAGATAAAAAACAGAGAGAGAAAAAAGAAAGAGAGAGAGAGAGAGAGAGAGAGCGGAGGAGAGAAAGAGAGAGCCACGTGCCGAAAATAATTTTCCTCTTCCGGAAATCTCGAGCGAGCGGGAGAGCGTGCGCGCGTGTACGCGCGCGCGATCCGATCGCGCGAGAGAGATGCGACGATGCGACCGGTTACGCACCGCGAGGTAATTATAGAACCATTATTGTTGGAATGTCCGGCCCGTCGAATATCTCGAAGCGATTCGCGCGCGCGTTTAACGGGCCGCCCCGTTTCTGATCGCGGGCGCGCGCGTCAAGTGATTTGCATGTCGCGGCGTGCGTGGAGCGAGGCAATTTGGCAGGATGCATGTTAAGCATTGCGTTCTCTAATTGACGGGTGAAGGTAATGAGCGATCGATCGATCGCGTTAATTAGCGAGCGGCGAAAAGCCGCGGTTGTCATTATTGTGGCTGCACTGTTTGTCGTCGGCTCTGTTCGGTCCGTCGTTAAGGTAAAAGTGTCTGGATATTCTTGTTGTTCTTGTCTTCGAACATACGAATGCTTTCGACACACACGGAAGAAGAGTTTCAATTCGTGTGATCGAGTGGGGACCAGACGAAAAACTCGTCGACGAAAAACAATATCTTTGTTACTGTGATCGAAGACTTTCGTCTGCATCAACATTCAGCTGCGTTAAGATTCGGTTAAAATAACCGAGAGCAATTGGTTGTGTCGAAATCTCCAACGGAAATCTTCCTGTTCTTACAACCGAGTTCTTAATCTGGTTATCAGGAAATTAAACTAATGTTGTTCTTTTTCCGTGTAAAAAATATATGTATATGTTTTTTATATTAAAAGTTTAAATATTTATGTTAAAAAAAATGGTCTTTAAAATATTCGTATTTTCAAGACCAAAAGAATGTTTAAGACTAACTACGTGTCGGGGCATCGGCACCTTAACCTTTTTCTAGTTTCTTCTTTTCAACGCGAACAATTCAAATGAATTCGAGTTCTGAAGTATTTTAACAGCACGCGCGACTAATGGACAGTTGACATCGTCACGTAAATTCTGTGTAAAATCTCATCAGAAATTTCCTCCGAAATTTGCTTTAATTAAACGTGCGGGACGGCCGTCCACTTCCTGTCACGTAAAAATTGTCAACGCGACACATCGCATTATCTCGCTTCTGTACAAGAGAAGTAATCCAATTCGCGCGAGCGCAGGGTTATAAAGTCCTGTCCGCCGCCGGAATTTTAACAGATCGAACGAGTCCTATTAAGGATAATTAGGCCGCGGCGTGGAATTTAATTAGTTCTCGTGTTACAAGCGGTCGCGGCCAAATGAATATTTCAGTCGATGTAAAATATTTAAAAGATTATCTCCGCGCGCGCGATTATATCGCGTCGGGGGACGGCGCGAATTAAAACGCAACGGCTCTCGACGTGACGATGGCAGGTCGTGTGCCCGACGGAATATTCACGCTAGTCTATCTCGCGCGTTTCCGCAGAGTTATTAGACTATGTTTCTAACGCTAGACTTTTAACCATGTTTGCGCGTTCCCAAGGAGATTCGCGCGAGGAGTGCACGGCACGGTTAAGTGGCATGCGCGCATCGATGCCGCGCGGAAAATCAGATTCGGCTGCCGGAAATCGCGTTCACGCTGCGTGTTACGCGTCAGAGCGCGAGAAAGACGGAAAGTGCGCGACGGATTGACAGCTTGAACGTCGATTTACGAATGCGAAGGCTCGGCGGCCGCGATCGACTGACGGGAGCGATACGTCGCACGTGGAGGGGCAAAATTCGACTTTCGAGGGTGCACATTAGCGAACACTTCTCCCGTCGAGCTCGCTCGAACATGCCGCCGCATGCAACCTGAAAGAAAATGAGCTTCGCGGATATAGACTCGAGAATTGAATTGCTTTCGTGCCTATCGGAGTCCAGGTAGAATCCTCGCTTCATTGCGCTAACGCAAATATGAACTGCGAGTCGATAAGTCAATGATGGCGTAATAATTGCAAAATCTATATGAGACCTTCTTTCTCGTGTTAACAAACGTCACGCGCCGCGAATAATTTGCGTTATCATTGTGTTTCTTCTTCTCTCTTTGAGAAATTAATAAATCGACTCTAGAAACCTCAAAAGCCCCCTAAAAGATATGAAATAATTTTCGACTCGATATTTCTGTATGTCTATAATCATAATCTAATATTTTTACGATACAAGGAATCGACACGGAAACTTGACTGAATCAATAATCATGCCTTTTTCCATCATTTATCTCCCTAGATAAGATAAGATATGGTTACTTACCTAATTTTTTTGTCGAGCCGATTCTCTAATATTGTCGGAATACATTACAATAGTATTATAAGTATATAGGAATATTGAGTTAAAGTTATTTCATCCTCTTTTTAGAACTTTTAAGGTTTCTGAGGGCTGTTTATGTTTTTATTTTGTATTTTTTAATTACTTACTAAAAGCTTTTTTGTAATCAGTTAAAGATAAAAGTTTCATCCTGTAATTCTAAATGTTCTCGGAAAATGTTCTCAAGAAAGTAATGGAATTTCCAGATAACCCAGACAAATCCGGTTAATAACATTAATCTAAAAACCACGCAGATATAACGTACTGAATAATTTCCAAAAATTTTCTTCTCAATGTATTCAATGCTTCTCGAGTTATGAAGGATCACAAACACACATGCAAACATACATAGAATCTCCCTCTTAAAAGCCGATTTAAGAAATGGAACGATGAAACATCAGGATAGTGTTTCTTGGCGGAGGAAGGAGTGGGATCATCCGCATTCAGAGATTTAATTTGCGCAATTTATCTCGACGTCGACGTTCTCGTTTTATGTCGCAGCGGCTCGGATGCACGATTTCCGGAATCGCCCGTGTATATAGCTGCAAATCGATGCTCTTTACGAGCGATCGAACAGGGATGAAGGAATTCGGGTGATGAATGAAGATTGCTGTGTCGGGGACGGGGGTGCAGGGGTGGTGTCGCGCGTTTCGAAAGGATTTTCTCGAGGAGCGCGCTCTCGCCGGACGGAGATCCTTGTCAGCGCGTGCTCAAGTGCCTTTATTTCATCGGGTTTAAAGGCCAGCTTGTCGTTTACTGCTACTACGCTCCTCGAGGCGTCGCGATACCCCGTGAGCCCGTATGAGTCGTATTTGCGTCGTACGTTGAACGCTAAATATCGCCGCGCGATTCTCAGTCTACCCCGGAGAAAAAAAAAAAACGATAAAAAGGAGCGACAAACCGCGCTCGTCGCACGGAGCAAATAAATCTCACCCAAACGAACGGCCGTGTTTGACGCCGAACGCGAGATACGGGGCGCCGTATATTTTGCCGTATATCTCCCTCTCGTACGTAATGACGTCCGTTCGAAGCGCGATTGAATGCAGATCTGCACGAAGGGGCGAGATGCACACCTGGGAGAAACGAAACGCACGAACCGACTGTTATCACCAGCTCGCGGTTATCGCTAACGACGTTTCGCATCTTTCTGATCTCTCGCCGCGAAAATTCGCACGCGGCGACCGCGGTCCACTCACGCATACCCGCGCATTAACTAGCGCGTACAATAGCGGCATAATAGCGCAGACGGCCGATAAGCTAATAAAGTCGGGCGCGGCGCTCGTTAATGCCCCTTTTTTATCGCGAAAACGTGCCCAGGCGAGGTGTAATTATTACTATCGCGGCGAGACGATTTAATCGACGTCACGCTGCACCGTCCTGCACCGGGCGATCTTACGGCCTGACACAACCCTCCCTCCTTCTTTCCTTTCTCTCTCTGTTCCCCATTCTCGCCAGCCTGCTTTGCCCACCACCCTTGTGTGTATTCGCGCGTTTCACGTTTACGACTATTCGGAATCCAGCCACGATTCTGCGGCGGGCGGATCTCGTTTTTTTTTCTCCTTTCTCTCTTTCTCTCCGCCGCCGCATGCTGGCTCTCGCGTCGAACTTAAATTAAAAATGTTGGCTGGCTGCGACGTGACGCGAATAAAGGCGAGTCCTGTTGTCGGTGCGCGCGGACGCGTCATCGTGCGATACCGCGAGCTTTGATGGACGTTACTGGCAATATTTATAGATGAGGAGCAGACAGAGAAAAAGAAAGAGAGAGAATCAGAGATAGTGTAGGTGCCAAAGACGTATAATAGAAATTCACAGTGCCGCCAACGTCGAGGGTGTCAAAGTCTGCGGCGTAGCGCGTTGGAAGGAGATGGAAAAGCAATAACAGTTGATTAGACACGCCTGGCGGGAGGTTATAACACCTCCGAACGACGTGACAGTTTTAATGCATTAACGATATCGATGAAGGGGTTAACCGCATCGCGGAGATGTCGACCACGAGTCGTCCTCGCTCGTTACGACACGCCACGTTCCCTTCACGTACGCCTGTAACTCCCCTTAATTGTATTACGCGTCGCACGAATTCCTATCTCGTTTGATTTGCTCGTTATTATTTTATCGTCTCGCACGAGGACTTCCTCTTGCGCCGATGTTAACGATCCGGCGAGACGACGTACGTGAAGCTGAGTGAAGCCCAGCAGCGAATTGAAACTCCAGTGTCGCGCGTTTTAATCGCGATCGAAGAATTTTATAATCTGCCTGCGCGTGTAGATGAAAGATGAAGTTATAGGAGTAAAACGAAGGGATGCAGGCGTAAGGGATTCAAAGGGAGGCATTCAAGGAACTTCAAAGTTAGTTCGCAATTTCGAATTAATAAATTCTCCCCAATTATCGCTATTAAAAATCGCCCAGTCTCTCCGGGCTGAGAGAATTATTTCTCTTCTTTTCATGCCCGACGCGTTGTTCCCTCTTCTTCGTCCCAGATTCTTTGCAACAACCTAGGCGCACGCACACAAGCGCACGCATACACACTCACGTCCCATCAGTTTGCAGCAATAACCGCCGTTGGTGCGGCGCAACCGGGGCGCGAAATAGTCTTCTTCGGCGAAACCGAGATTCCCCGGGCGCCTTTCATCAACATGAAAAATATTCCGCCGTGAGAGCTCGCGTAATCACGTTTTAGCCGCCATTGCGGATAATTGCCCGGAGTTTTCTAAGCAGATCTAATAAGAAATTCCCGAAGTGTGGGTCGGAGCCTCTCTTGCGTACCTAATTAAAAACTAAATTTCCTAAAATCCCCCGTGCCCGACGGAGTTTCGGACCCCTTTATCGCCGCGGAGACGACTG